ATATAAACCACAAACAACAAGGGCCCCAACACTAATCCTTGCAGAACCCCATCAGACACGACTTGTAATCACAAAAACACCCCTCAATGATCACACTCTAATTTCTGCCACTTAGCCAATTCTGGATTTAGTTAGCCAAATGTCCTTGGGTCTCATGGGTTCTTACCTTTGTTATCAGTCTCCCATGCAAGACCAGTTATGACATGTCTGAACAGGTTGATTAAAATCGCTATTCACTGTCGTACTGAACCCATTTTATTCATTAATATCCTTTGGGAAAGAAAGGAAAACAGCCATCCTCATCTGGTTAGGTCTACATGAGACCTGCATCAAGGTCTCTTAACTGCCCTCTGAAATGGCCTAGCAAATCACTCAGTTCTATCAACCAGAAGAAAGGGAAAAAATGAATGAAACCAGTCAGACCACCTGGCATCAGTTAAGACAACAGAAACAACAACAGCAAAACAGCCTGGTCAACCTTGCACAAAGTCATCTTTACTAACATCTGGGGGCTATTGCTAACATTGGGACAAACTAGCCAAGCAAAAGCCCTGTCATATTCACACAATCATATCTTACACAATGTCCCAAAACACCACTATCAGCCCACCAGCAGGACAAGCACAGCAGAGGCGGCAGCACAGTACTATAATGTTGGAATGGAGTTACCCTGGGACATCTCAACATTGAGATGAACCCTATGATGTCTCATTAACCATCTGCTGATTACCACTTGCCAACCCCTGCCCATATCCCCACACATCCTGCTCATGAGCAGGTCTCCTCACTATTTGGAGGAACCACTAAAGTTTAAAGACATAGAATGTCAGGGACTTCAATGTCCACAACCAAGCAGCACCACGACTCTCAGAGGTGGTTGAGCCCTAAAGGACATAGTGGCTAGATTGGGTCTGTGGCAAATAGTGAGGGAACCATCAACAGAGAAAACAATGCTTGTAGAGATAAAGTTCCGTCTTCACATTGAGAATACCTTTCATCATGTTGTGTGGCAATATCATCATGTTGAATGTGATAGATGCGAACATTTCTCACAACGCTAGGCATCTATGAGGTGCTGTGGGCCATCATCAGCAGCAGAATTATACTCAAACCCAATCTGCAACCGCATGGCCAAGCATATCTTCTACTCATCAAGCCAGCAATCAGTCCTGGTTCGATGACGATTGCAGGAGCACATATCAGGAGCAACAACAGAGAGACCTAAAAATATGCTGAAGCTAAGAAACAGGACTATTTATGTGCCTAATGACATAAGCTGCAAGTGATAGACAGAGCTAGCCATTTCACGAACAATTAATCAGATCTATGCTCGACTATCCTGTCACATCCTGTCATGAATGGTGGCGGACAATTAAACAAATCACTGGAGGAAGTGGCTCCACAAACAATCTCATCCTCAATGACGGGGGAACCTAACAAACCAGTGCAAAAAATAAGGTTGAAGCATTCTTTAGCCCGATGCCAAGTGGAAAATTCATCGCAACTTCCTCAAGGAGCTCCCAGCATCTCAGATGCCAGTTTTCAGCCATTCAATTCATTACACATGATATCAAGAAACAGCTAGAGGCACCAGATAGTGCTGTGAGTCCCAACAATGCACTAGCAATAGTACTGAAAACATGCGCTCTAGAGCACGTTGTGCCCCTAGCCAGGCTTTCCCAGGACAGCTACAACACTGTCATCTACCCAACAATGTGGAAAATTGCACAACTGTGTTCTATACACAAAAACACGGATCAAATCCAATGCAGACAATTTACAGACCATCAATAAAGTGATGGAAGGTATCACCAATGCTGTTATAAAGCAACACTTGCTTAGCGATAACCTACTCACCAAAGCCCAATTTGGTTCTGCCAGGGCCACTCAGCTCCTGACCTCTCTACACCTTTGTTCAAATATGGACAAAAGAATTGAATTTCAGAAGCAAGATTGACTGGCCTTGACACCAAGGCCACTTTTTTTTTTAAATGCAATCATGGGACATGGGCATCACTAGCTGGCCAACATTTACTGCCCATCCCTAATTGCCCTTGAGAAGGCGGTGGTGAGCTGTACATGTCCATGCGCTGTAGGTTGACCCAAAATGCTCCAGAGGAGACAGTTTCAGGGTTTTGACCCAGTGACAGTGAAGGAACAGCAATATATTTCCAAGTCAGGACAGTGAGCAGCTCAGAGAGGAACCTACAGGTAGTAGTGTCCATCTGTATCTGCTACCCTTATTGTTCTAGATGAAAGTGGTTGTAGGTTTCCTGTAAAAAGGAACTTCAAAGAATTTCAGCAGTGCATTCTGTAGATAGTATACACTTCTGCTACTGAGCAAGTGTTGGAGGGAGTGGATGCTTGTGGGTGTGGCGTCAATCAAGCCGACTGCTTTGTCTTGGATAGCTTCAAGCTTCTTGAGTGTTTTGGGATTGCACACTTCAAAGCAAGTAGGAAGTATTCTATCATACTCCTGACTTGTGGCTTGTAGTTGGAGAACAGGCTTTAGGGAGCCAGGTGGTGAGTTACTCGCCGTAGTATTCCTAGTTTATGAGCTGATCTTGTAGCCGCTGTGTTTATATAGCGAGTCCAGTTGAGTTTCTGATTAATGATAACCTCAAAGATATTGATAGTGGGGGATTCAGTGATGGTGACACCACTGAATGTCATGGGAGGTAGTTAGATTATCTCTTACTAGTGATGTTCATTGCCTGGCATTTGTGAGGTGTGAATGTTACATGCCATTTGTCTCAGCTGGTTAGAGTCATAGTTGGTACAAAAGAATATGTTTGTGGTTGATGGACATCAATTAACTGGGCTCAAGGATATTTTTTCAGGAGTAGCACAGGGGTAGTGTCCTAGGCTCAACCAGCTGCTTCATCAATGACCTTCCCTCCAGCAGTAGGTCAGAAATGATGATGTTTGCTGATTGATTGCAGTATGCTTAGCATCATTGGATCAAAATTCAGGAACCCAACTTCCTAACAGCATTATGGATCTATTTACAGCACGTAGACTGCAATGGTTCAATGCTACAGCTCACCATCACCTTCTCAGGGACAACCAGAGATGAGCAATAAATGGGAGCCCAGCTAGTGATGTCCACATTCCATGAATGAACTGAAAAAAGTTGAGAGACTCCCCAAATACTGAAGCACACTGTGTCCAAATGCAGCGAGACCTGGACAGAATCCAAGCTTGGGCTGACAAGTGGTAAGTAATATACATGCTCACAAGTACAATATAATGGCTATTACAAACGGAATACAACTATCTTCCCTTTGACATCCAATGGCATTACCATCACTGAATCTCCCACTATCAACATATTAGGAGTTGCCATTGACCAGAAACGAGAGCAGATATATAAATACTGTGGCTACAACAGCAGGTCAGAGTCTAGGAAATCTGGGCAAGTAGTCTTCTTCCTGATTCCCCAGAGCCCGCCCACAGCCTAAAGACAGCAGTCTGATGGAATACGCTCCACCTATGTGGATGAGTATAGCTCCAACATCACTCAAGAAGCTTGACACCATCCAGGACAAAGTAGCCTACTTGATTAGTACATCAGCGACCAATAAACACCCAATCCCTTCGCAAGCATGTTCGCTCAGGATTCACTGCAGCAAGGCACTGTCTCCTTGACAGCACCTGCACCTGTCCACAACTGCAGAGAAAAATACAAACTTATAGTTCCACAAGCAAATGTGGCTAGGGGCTCAAACTCAGTTTTGCTCCAGATAACTGCTAGTGGAGGAAATTTAGCGTTCCTCTAATCCTTGTAGTAGAAAGCAGTCAACAAAATCAGCTGGAAAACCAAGAAGGTTGTTGGCTGTCTGCTGCAAGCCTGCGCAAAGACCTGAGTAATTTAGTCACAAAGCCTGGAAAGTGGAAAGCTGCCTAAACCAAAAAAGCTATTGGAAGGATCTTTTTGGAATCCTCGCTCTAAAAATAGCTGGAACACAAGGGAGCATTGAATTGAATTCTGGAGGGCAGTGGCATATCGTTTGGATTATTCCTAAAGCAGAGAATGAAACTTCATGATTCTTTTAGAAAACAACTTATCTTTTGGGTAGGGAAAACATTATCCAAAAGTGAAACTGCTTTCAAAACAAAGATCATTACAAACTGCAATTTTAAGCTAATAGTGGATCAGAACAGTACAAGTGCATCGTAACATAATTTCACATCTCCAATGTCCTCAATAATACTTAATTTCACCATTTTCACATTCCTATTTTTATCATTTAGCATAAATGCCACAATTTTGAGCAAAAATAAAGTCCATAGAATTTACTTTTCACTGTTTTGGCAATTTCTTGATAATGTACAAATTTCATTACTTGGGAACATGCAGTTTTTACTTCAGGTATGTTAAACATATCTACATTGGCTATAGGTACTTTTCTAGATGAGGAGTACATAAATCAAAATATAGACAAAGACACTGGACTTTGGGACATGGTCAAAATTGGTAAATTATTTTTATTCCCTGGGGACAGCAAAATCACCCAGTTATATCCTACTTTGTGACATCAGCTCTAACTTAATTAGGATGCAAATGTAAAAGGAAGATTATGTTACCAGCTGTTCAGTACAACTGACAAAAGGAAGTGTTCTTAAATATAAGATTCTGCTCAAGACCTGAACTACATTTTAGCAGAAGGATTAAAACAAATTACCATCACAAGAGAACAAACTTCAGGATCATGGGGAGAGACAGACAAACAAATACTGTTTCCCATATACACTTTCAGTAAAACCTTTTTTTTTTAAGCATACATCTATAATATTGATTGCAATCGGCAAAATTATAAAACATTCTCAGTTCAGCAAATTTATGGCTTGAAGATTTGATGAAAAGTCATTGACCTGAAATATTCCAACATCTTTCTCTCATCTGAATCTGCCACATCTGCTGTTTTTCAGTGCTTATTTCAGATTTCAAACAACCACAGCATTTGCTGTCATACAATGTGTTTAAGAGCTGTTCTCACCTTTAACCTTTGGTTGAGACATATGCTGACTCCATCCCATGAAGCACTGATCATTAAGATCTTTCAAAGTAGTCTGGAGAGTTTTCCAGTCAGCAGAAAGTTGTGCCACTTTACTCTGTACCAGATTAGATAGAGTATTTTCATTAACAGGGAAGTAATTGGTAACCATTTTTCATCATCCTAACTTCAATTTCTCAGAATTCTGCCAAAATTAAGAGGTTTTCTGCTTCGTACCATGAACTTCAGCCAAATATACAAATTAAATGCCTTTCCCCTTTATTCCCCAAGTTCCCATACTGATAAATCCTATGTCTTAATTTTCAATTTGTAGCACCAGAACTAAGAACTGCCTTTTCTGAACCGCCAGGTACGTAAAATTCTCACTGGCCAAAACAACAGTTATAAATAGATGTGAAAATAAGATTGAGCTGCCTGGATTTTAGATTTGGATGGTCATAGCTCCAAACCACATATAACCCAAGCATTGCAGTTTAGACTAAAATGAACTGAAAAATGCCCTTTGCAACATAGAAGCATTAGCTCACATCTATAACAGGCAATTAGAAAGGCAAATGGCGTGCTGGTCTTTATTGCAAGCAGTTTGAAATATAAGAAGTTTCTACGGTTGTACAGCAGTCTGGTAGAACCACATTTGGAATACAGCATTCAGTTTTGGTCTCTCTTTTTAGGGAAGGAAGACAAGCTAAGATTGGAAAAAGGCTGACAGCTAACATAAAAGCAATCCAAAATATACAGATAGCAACACAAAGATTAGACACGACAAAATGATTTACACAGGGAGGAGATGGCATTAAATCAATACTGTGCATCTATCTTTGCCATGGTAAAAGAGGCTGTAGTGATCATGAAAGATTTGGTCAGAAGGTGGTATGAGTTAGACTGGTTGTTCTTAAGGCACCCAGGTCTGGATGGAGAAAACTAACTATCCAAGGATCCAGAGGCAAGTGGGAATTGGAACTAAAAGTGGCAAGAGGCCGTTTCAATTGAGATAATTGAGGGGATAATGAACTACCTGAAAAGGAGAAATCGTCAGGGGACAGCCAGCAAACAAAATGAGCAGAATGGCGTTCTCTGTGCTACAAAGATTGTAATTCTTGTATATGAGCTGAAGATTCACTAGGTTGGACCCTGGGGTGACAGAGTTGCTCTGAGAGACTGAGCATTATCTCTGGAGCTCAAAAGAAAGATGCCCTCATTGCCAAGCATACATTCAGAAAGGAGCTTGGCAGGGCAGAAACTTGTTTCGTCAGTTACAGAATCTAGACTATGGAGGCTCAGTTTCAGGTCAAAGGAACCAATCATTTAGATGCATTTGTTATTCAAGTTTGAAAGATTCACAAACTCTTGACCCCAAAGAATGTCTTTTTTTATTCACATGTAGGCATTGCTGGCTGGCCAGCATTTATTGCCAGTCCCTTGTTGACCTTGAGAAGATGATGGTAAGTTGCCTTATTAGACTGCTGCAGTCCACATGCTGTAGGTTGACACACAATGTTCTAGGGACGGAATGCCAGGATTATGACCTAGCAACACTGAAGGAAAGGTGATATATTTCCAAATTAGGATGGTGAGTGGCTTGGAGGGGAACTCACATGGGAACACCACCACCTGTATCAGCTGCTCTTGTCTTTCTCAATGGAAGTAGTCATGGCTTTGGAAGGTGATATCTAAGAAGCATTTGTGAATTTCTGGAGTGCATCTTGTAGATGGTACACACTGTTGTTACTGAATATCAGTGGTGGAGGGAGTGGATGCTTGTGGACGTAGTGCAAATCAAGCAGGCTGCTTTGTCCTGGATAGCGTCAAGCTTTAGAAGTGTTGTTGCACCCATCCAGGCCATTGGGGAGTATTCCATCACACTCCTGACTTGTGCCTTGTAGATGGTGGACAGACTTTAGTAAGTCAGGTGGCGAGTTACTCACCTCAATATTTCTGTTTCCAACCTGCTCTTGCAACCACTGTATTTATATGGTCAGTCCAGTTAAGTTTCTGGTCAATGATAACCCCAGGATGCTGACAGTGGAGAATTCAGTGATGGCAACACCACTGAATGCTAAGGGGCTGTGGTTAGATTGTCTCTTGTTGGAGACGATCATTGCCTGGCATTTGTGTGGTGTGAATGCGAAGATTGTGGACATGACATTATTGAATGCATTTAAAGCTGAGATAGACTATTTGTGATTTCTCAAGGAATCAGAAGAAATGGGGAACAGATGAAAAAGTGGAGTTGAAGTCAAGGCTGTAATGAATGCTGTAACTTTAAAGTTTTGGTAAAGATCTGTAGCTCAGGTTGTGGATGAGGTTGTTGACTTGCTCGCCGAGCTGACTTGTTTTTGTTCAGATATTTTGTCACCATGCTAGGTGATATCATCAGTGGAGCCTCCAATAAAGCGATGATCTGTATGGGTTTGTATATGGGGTCCAATTCCATATGTTTGTTGATTGAAGTATGGGTGAAGAACGATGCCTCTAGGAATTCCCGTGTGTGTCTATGTTTGGCTTGGGCTACTATGGTTACTTTGTCCCAGTTAAACTGATGGCCTTCATTGTCTGAATGTACAGATATTAAGGAGAGTTCATCGTGCCGTTTTGCTGCTAACTAATGTTCGTGTATCCTGATGGCTAGTTTCCTTCCTGTCTGTCCGATGTAATGTTTGTGGCAGTCGTTGCATGGTATTTTGTAAACCACGTTCATTCTGCATGTTGTGGGAATGGGGTCTTTAATCGTTATAAGTGTTTGTCATAGGGTGGCTGTGGGCTTGTGGGCCACCATGATTCCTAGTGGTCTCAGGAATCTTGTTGTCAGTTCCAATATGTTCTTGATGTAGGGCAATGTGGTCAGTGTGTTAGGTCGTACTGTGTCCCCCTGCTGTTGTCTGTTTTGTAGGCATCTGTGGATGAAGTTGCGGGAATATCCGTTTAATGCGAGGATCTTGCGTAGGTGTTCTTCCTCTTCCAGAACTACGCTGGGAAGAGGAAGAACCCATAAAGATCAAAACCAGAAATGACAGTACTCACCATAATGAACCAGACAATATAAATTCCGAGCAGCGTAGAATAACATCGCTTCATCGGAGGCTGCACTGATGATGTCACCTAGCATGGTGACGAAACGTCTGAACAAAAACAGGCCAGCTCGGCAAGCAAGTCAACAACCTCACGAATGCTGTAACTATTTTATAGGGGGTCAGTTAGCTCAGTTGGCCAGTTTACAATGCAGAGTGACAGCAACAGCGTGGGTTCAACCCCTACACTGGTTGAGCTTACTGTGAAGGACTCTTCATCTCAACCTCTCCCATTGCCTGAGGTGAAGCAACCTTCAGGTTAAACCCACCACCAGTCGTCTCTTTTTTAGAGAGTAGTCCGATGGTCTGGTAGGTTTCTGATGCTTTTATCACTTCTTATATTTATGTGTAGAGTTGGTCACTCAATAGAATAACCAACTTCCAATTCTAACCATGGCACTTCTAGTTTACCACCCAAAACATTAACAGATTCATATAGAATTTACAAGAAGCAGGTAACTGGTGTAGTAAAAATGTACAGGACGCTGTGCTGAAATCAACCGTGTTAAGAACTCATCCAATTGCCATGTTTATTTGATGCATAAAAAGGTGTCTGTTTTGCAGAAAATAACAATAACGAGAGGGTCAATGTGCCCGAACAAGATGTCACCATTGAAGGACGGAGTAAATTAACCAAGATCAAAGGAAAGTCACAGAGTGACCAAAGACAGTAAAGCATTCTGTACAAGAGACAAGATCAAGCATCATTTCGCTCAGTTATGTATTCAGACAATCATTCCAGCTACTGAGCAGACTGATGAAATGAAGATTGGCAAACCTTCAGCCACATTTGCACAAAAATCAAAATAACTGGGATAATATCCTTTTAATCTGTACACTGGCATCTTTTCCACACAAGACATCACTGCCTCCTCCACCTCCCACAATCTCAATTTTTTCCCTCTACTTCTCAGTCCCAATATTATTCCGTTTCTCATTCTCCCTCTCGGCCTCCTTTCCCCAGCTCTATACATAGTCGATAAACAGGCCCACAGGAATGCAGCCTGTCAATGACCTTTCTCCATTTAGTCCAAGATTTGAGGAGAAACCACTTCCCCCAAGAAGATACGATCAGACTGTGGAAGGAAGTCCACAGAACACCATCCCCTGCAGAGTGTTTACCATCTCTTGCCTCCCACTTCTAATTCTTATTGTACTTCCCTCTGCTATTGTCTATTGTATTCTCACCTCTTCCCCTTCTGGGATCTAATCACTCATTTACTCTCTCTCCTGACTTGACCTGAATATCGAAGCTGATCAAACACTCCTTGCATGATTCCACATAAACTTATGAAAATTTAACAGAGCTAGAATTATTAGCTACAAAGTGTTTCATAATGTTGAGAACATAAGACTACATAAACATACTAAATACTGTGGAATCCCTTTTGGGAATTTAATGCTTTAACCTGCTTAACTATAGAAAATCCAAACTATTGATTCAAAATTTGTTAAACAAGCTGGAAAATGGCATAAACTGCTCATTATTCATTTAGATACAAAGACTGCATGCTTCACTCATGCAGAGTGGTATGTGGATTTTCCAGCTGAAACTCACTGCATACTATCTTTGTACTCACTGGTATCAGATTTTAACTATGGGATCCCTGAGAAAGGCATCAAAAAGAGCATCATCCTGGCTGGTAGTCAGATGGTCAATGCATGCCAATGTTAATGGAGGCTTTCAGAATGATAGCAGTCTATAAGATCGAAAGGCTAACTACCATCACCCAGGAAGACCATCAGTTGGGTAGATTTACTTTAATAATATCATACTTACTGCTATTAAAAATGGCCCATTTTGAGCTTTAAGGACCCTTAATTAAACAGGTCTGCTCGCTATAAGTTCATTTCAACCAGAAATAGGCAATTGAAATTTCAAAGCACACTTTGAACTGTTACGACATGAAGACAAACAGCCAAGCCATATCAAATCAGTCTTTCTGCTTCTGATTTTGCAACATTTAAAATAAAAACTCTGAAAAGCAGCATTGTGATAATGACCACAAAATTTGTCTTTGTGATACAAATTCAGGGATAAATACTGAGCAAGGCAGTGTGATAACGCCTTGCCTTTCTTTAAAACAATATCATGGGATCTTTTGCCTCAGCTTAACATTTCTGTTGACAGATGGCACCTCCAACAGTACAGCACTTTTACAATACTATACTGGGTTGTCAGCCAATATTTTTGAGGTCACACCCGAGACAAGGATTTGAGCCTACGGCACTCGGAGTCAAAAATGAGAAGGCTACAAACAGAGCCACAGTTCACATCAATTCAAGGCAATGTTCCTGTGTGTGGTCTAAGGGTGCTGGTTTGAATCCAGACCACCATCCATCTTAAAGTACAGGGCATGTTGCAACAAATTGTGCGCCAGTCAGAAATACCACTAGTTACCTTTTCTTCAGGGAGCAAATAGTTTTTCCTGTCCAACTCCAAAGCTTTAGTGAGAGTAGTCTCAATGTCAGTTTGGTGGTTCATCACAGCAGCTTCTAATAACTGAAACATTGAGTCAACACTTAACACAAGACTCCAAAGAGATAGAAAACAAAACTCTTTTGCAAAATAATCACTACAGGTAGTTCTCCTATAACACGATAGTTGCGTTCTTGTGTGACCTCATGCTTCAGAAAATTGCCATAGAAAATCATGTTATAGGGAAATCACCATAGAAAATCGCTGTACGTGTACAGCAGAAAGTTCGCATTATCCAAACAGTGTCCACTATTCATCAATCGTGTTACAGCCAATTCACATTAACAAAACACACGTTATATCGGAACTACCAGTATTTTTTTAAAAAAGCAAATCTCTACTTGAAATGAGTTGGGCATTTGGTTTTGTTTTTCAATCCTTTCAGAATATCTACACTACATGGACTGTAACAGTTGACGAAGAAGGCTAACAATCACCTTCCCAGTAGGTAATTAAGAATGGGTGACAAATTATCAGCTTGCTAACAGTGTCTAAATTCCATGATCATCTTTGAAAAAAAAACTTACAATGCTGGATTTTTGTGCCAGGGTTTAAAAGTGAATTTGCTTTCTTCTTTTCTCTTTCGTTGTTGAACGCTAGCCCGGCAACAAATATTGGCCTTCTGCTAACTCACTATTCAACGCATTCAATGGCTAGCCCATTTTTGTCTTCAAGTTACATCTACATTCATACTTGCATGAAGGGCAGTGCAGTACAAATGTGACTGCTTTTTAACCTCCTACCCTGCCAACGGTTTTGGATCCCATTTCAGAGCACTCACAACATGGGAAGGCAATGGCCAGTAGTATTATCAATGGACTGTTAATCTAGAAACCCAG